CAAAGTCGTTGTACAAGTTTGCATTTCCACCAGCAATGGAGGAGGGTTGACCTTTCTCCACAACCTCTTCAGCATGTGTTGTCACTTGAGTTTTTGATCTTAGCCATACTGGTGGGTGTCAAGTGAAATCTCAGGGTTGTTTTGATTTACATCTCTCTGATGGCTAAGGACGTTGGACATTTCTTTAAGTGTTTCTCTGGCATTCTGTATTCCTCTACTGAGAATTCTCTGTTTACCTCTGTACCACATTTTTTTAATTGGATTGCTTGATTTGCTGCTTTTTAACTTCTTTAGTTCTTTATATATTCTGGATATCAGCCCTCTGTCAGATAGGGTTGGTGAAGATCCTTTCCCATTGACAAAATCCAACAGCCATTCATGTTTAAAGTCTTAGAGAGATCAGGGATACAAGGCACATACTTAAACATAGTAAAGGGAATATACAGCATGCCTATAACCAACAGCAAATTCAATGGAGAGAAACTTAAAGCAATCCCAGTGAAATCAGGGACAAGACAAGGCTGTCCACTCTCTCCATGTCTCTTCAACATAGTACTTGAAGTTCTAGCTAGAGCAATAAGACAACTAAAGGAGTTCAAGGGAATACAAATTGGAACAGAAGAGGTCAAAGTTTCACTATTTGCAGATGATATGATAGTATACATGAGTGACCCAAAAATTCAACCAAAGAACTCCTTCAACTCATAAACACCTTCAGCAAAGTGGCTGGATACAAAATTAACTCAAAAAAATTAGAAGCCCTCCTGTATACCAAAGACAATAGGGCTGAGAAAGAAATTAGGGAAACAACACCTTCACCATAGCCACTAATAACATAAAGTACCTTGGAGTGACTCTAACTAAGCAAGTGAAAGACCTGTTTGAGAAAAACTTCAAGTCTCTGAAGAAAGAAATTGAAGAAGATATCAGAAGATGGAAAGATCTCCCATGCTCATGTATCGGTAGGATTAAAATAGTGAAAATGGCTATTCTGCCAAAAGCAATCTACAGATTCAATGCAGTTCCCATCAAAATACCAACACCATTCTTCATAGATCTTGAGAGAAAAATTATCAACTTCATATGGAGAAACAAAAACCCAGAATTTCCAAAACGATCCTGTACAACAACAGATCACCTGGAGGCATCTACATCCCTGATCTCAAGCTGTACTACAGAGCAATAGTAATAAAAACTGCATGGTATTGGCATAGAAATAGAATAGTGAATCAATTGAATTGATTCACTGAATAGAAGACCCAAAATTAAACCACATACCTATGGATATTTGATTTTCGACAAAGAAGCCAAAACCATTAAGTGGAAAAAGACAGCATCTTCAATAAATGGTGCTGGTCCAACTAGATGTCTACATGCAGAAAAATGAACATAAATCCATATTTATCACCATGCACAAAACTAAAGTCCAAGTGGATCAAACATATCAACATAAAACCAGATACACTATTTCAAGGTTTTATAAATTAAATTGATTCAGTTGTGTCACATGTGCACACACACTCATACCTCATGTCACAGTGCTCATGTGTTGATCAACCTGTGGGAGTCTGCTCTCCCTTACCATATGGGTCCCAGCAACTGAATTCAGGTCATTAGGCTTGATTGAAAACAACTTTACAAATTGCCTTACCCTTATTTCCTGTCTGCTTAGACACTTCTTAGCCTCCCAACACCCAGTAGCCACATCTGTCTTTGGAATATTTCGGGGACTCTCTGTGACTGACCATGGCCCAGAATCAATCAAAATAATTGATGTTTGTGCAAGGTTAAACATAAAAGTGAAATAACTAAGAGGAAATGTAAATTTAAAATGATCCTTATGTATTGTCTGAAAGACACTTCTGAGTTTTGCATGACTGTTTAGATGTTACTAGGCCACCTCTAATCCATTGCTGATAACCCCACAATCCCACCGCCCCCCCCCAAAAAAAAAGCATGGTTTTGCTCTAACATAAATGAATGGCTTGCCATCTGTGTGTTAGTCATTGAATGCAAGAACGGCAAGTTCGGTCCAATTAGGTTTCTTGATTTTTATGCTTGTGTTTCTGTATTGTCTCCTGGAAACAGACCCCTTTCTGTTGTTGGTACCTAGGAGAGGCAAGCTGAGTGCTCTCTGCAAGCCCTTGACTGAGATGGTGCCAGTTTCTCTAGATTCGGCCATTAAGTTGCACCATCTGTTAGCCTTTGTTTGCTGTTTTGTTCTTTTTTAAATTTTTTTTTTTTTTTTTTTTTGCAAAAGCAAAACCAAAATAAAAATTTTCAGATAGGAAATTTCCAGGCACTGAAGTTTATGACCTCCTGGGATTCTCATTCACTCCAACACTGGGGAAGCTGTGGCAGGTCTTACATGCTAGAGAAGTCAGATATGGCTGCTGTTTTCTTCAGTGCATTAATCTTCTCCTGATTGTTAGTGCTCCTGGGTTGTTAGGACCACCACCTCTAAACTCGTACCTCTTCAATATATGCTGTGGTTTCACGAAGAATATGTGGATTTGCACTCCCAAAAATAAGGCTGTGCACTTACAATGAGATTGACTGGTCCTCCTGTGAAGTGGGATAGCCATTAGCAGGTTTCTGGGCCTTATCTGTTGCAAAGGCAGTTTGGCTCAAGTTCACTGGACCCACCCTGTCACCTTGACCAGTTCCCTTATATTGATCAATGGTTGACACTTGTTCAAAACCCATCCACTTAAGATTTGTGCTTCTAAAGATTATGCTGCTGTTTTTGTTGCTAAAATTCTCCATCTCCAGCTTCCTACTAAGATTCAGGCCCCCTTCAGAAGTTAGGGACCCTCTGCTGTCCTCCCACCATCATTCCTAGAGCCCACATTCACCTCTCTTATCTGTAACTTCCCCATCTCCTCCAGATTCTTCCACCATCCCCCAAACTCAGGCTTCTCTGACCCATTGCATCCCACTCTTTCCTCCTTTGACCCTTACCCCCATCCTAAGTTCCTTCACTTCCCCTTCTGGATCTGTATTGTTTCCAATCCTCTTCTCCCTCTGTGAGCATCACTCTCCCTCCTAATGGAGATATGTAATTTTCCCCATCTTCCTCAACTTCCTTCACTGCCCTTGGCTTCCACTTTAATAGTTCATTGGACTCTGGACCTGACACAGGTCTGGGACTCTGTTTTCCCATTGTCTCAAGACCAACTTCCTCCAGGAGCAGGAGGCAATGACTTATCTATGTCCCTTTCTCTGCTTCTGATCTGTATAACTGGAGGATCACCTTTTTGGATAAGCCCCAAGTCCTAACCATGCCCCTGTAATCTGTCGTCTGTACTCATTGATCTGCCTGGATGTTTGGCAGCTGTTACTTCTGACTATCTACTTCAGAGGAAAGGGATTGTATAATTAGCAGAGTCAGGGAAAGCTTTTTGGCCTCAGCTACTGTATGAATACTGAAAAGCTACTCGCTTTTGAGGCAACTTTCCCATCCAATCACTAAGACTGGGATCCCAATTATGTATACTGGCTCTCAGGCCCTGGACATTTTTCACTGCTCTGCTATGTCTGTAATTTAGAATGCTGCTTGAAAAATCACAATTTTGTCTATGACCATTGAAGTTCTTAACAGCCCAGAAGAGATTTCTGAGGCATTTCTCAAGGAATTACTGAAATCTTTCCAAATTTACATCCTCTTGACCCAATGGATCCAAAAAAATTGCCAGGGCATTAAATTTTGCTTTTATCCTTTAAGCCCTGGATAGGGACAGAAAAGCTCCAACAGGTAGAGGGTTTTGCAGGGATGAAATAGCTCCCAGCTCATCAAAATAGCTCAAAAGATTTTCAATAACCAAGATACTGAAAACCAAAACAAGCTGTCTTCCTGTGAGGACTGGCTTCCTGCTTTGCCCTCTGAACTCAAGCCTGCATTTCAACTGCTGTCTCCTGACCTTCATCTTTTGATGCTTGATGTTGTGTCATGGAGTCCTAAGGAGGATCACTCACACATTGACAGCATCTAAGTTTCCATTGCTATACAAATCTTCTGCTCAGGACAGAACAGGACAGGGGCATGTCTTAAGTCGCCAGAGCACATTTTGGCCTGGACTGTCTCTGAGTTTTTAGTTGGAAACTGAGACTGAGTACTAGGGTCAGGAGACTTAAACCCTGTCACCTAAATGAAGCTGTGTGCTGGAGTGGAGTCATGTTCAGAGTTGTCTATGCTCTACATGTACCTGTGTGTTTCCCTAATCCTATACACAACAAAGCAGCAGGTTGTGTGGCCACCACTGTGGTCACCAATATTTCTGTCAGTAACGTCTTACCTATGTTCTATAAGTAAGTCTGGATTAGCTCATCTTCAGCAGAGGAAACTTGACCTTATGTGGTGGGGTTAGATGTTTCCTAGTCCCCCACTGCCTCATTTTTTGTGCCTTGTGATTCATAAATAATGAACTTATTCTAAAAACCAAACCTACATTTTATTTTATTATTTTATTTTATTTTATTTTATTTTATTTTATTTTATTTTGAGTCAAGGTTTCACTATGTAGCCCTGAATGTCCTGGAACTTACTGCTATGAATTGTAACATAAATTCCTGTGTTTATTGATGGTCTTAGTCAACTGCTACTTTGTAGTCAAGGCTGACCTTAAACTCACACATCCACTAGCCTCTGTCTCCCAAGTTCTGTGATTAAAGGCATGTGCCCCCATGCCATGCCTCCCTTACAAAATCTTTATTCATAAAAATTAATTAAATTTGTAAGAAAAATTCACTCCCACAGGTAAAAGGCTGCTGAGATTTTATTTAGAAATCAACAGGAATAGAGATACTACATTTTATAAAGCTAATGAGCAAAAATGGTATAAAATACAGTCAAATTTCAAAGACATGTGTCTGAGATAATACAAATTACATCATCGTTCAGGCTCTCGTTTTTCTCAACTCACAAGAATAATATTTTGGAAGTGTTGTATTTAATGAAAAGAAAATATTTTGGTGTCTCCACTCTTCCATGTTGTTGCAATTCAATATTTAACCATCTGTAATTTTCTTTGCAGCAGAGTCTTCTGCTTTTTAAACTCATTGTGTATACTCTTAAGTACACTGCTATAATTCTCCAAATCCTCCAAATCCTAAAGCACAAAAGAATAGTTTAGTTACAAAACAACTTTTCATCACAGGTTCTCAATTTAGTTTTCATAATTGAGAATCTTTTCATATTGAAATAATATCCATTAACTATTCCATCTTCATAAAAACATTGGAATACACTGAAATTCATCCCATAAAGTGTGTGTGTGTGTGTGTGTATGTGTGTATGTGTGAACAAGGCAATCAAAGACAGTTACACAATTACGCATGATATGAATTAATAGTTAAATGAGATGTTAAGGTTAGACAGAGAAAAAATAAAGTGAGGCTCCCAGTCTCCCTAAAGGTCACTTGAGAACATAAAGAACTTGACAGTGATTTGGACAACATAGTAAGACCCAGTCTCAAAAAGCAGGGTGGAGCTGGGCAGTTGGTAGAGTGCTTGCACAGCTTGAATGACCCTCCATTTGATCCTTGGCACAATGTAAACAAAGCAGTGGGACACACTTGTAATCTCAGCAGAAGAGAGGTGAAGGCAGAGGGATTTGGAGTTCTCAGATATTTATGAAGGCCAAGGCCAGTGTGAGCCACAGTGACCAAATACTTAAAAAGGGAGAAAAAAAACATAAATATGTAGAATCAGAAACACTAGAAAATTCAAAGTCCAATCAGTACACATGACTTTTAAAAGGTTCTCAAATATCAGTTTATAATTTATTTATACTAACAGTCAGTGTGAATAAAGATAATTAAATGATCTGTATTTTGAGATCATTCGCAAGTTATATAAATCAAAATCTACATTTTGGTACATTTGTTTTTATTACAGGATCGTAGCGTGTAGTCCAAGCTACTTTTTTATACTAACAGTCAGTGTGAATAAAGATAATTAAATGATCTGTATTTTGAGATCGTTCCCAAGTTATATAAAACAAAATCTACATTTTGGTGCATTTGTTTTTATTACAGGATCGTAGTGTGTAGTCCAAGCTACTTTCTACTTTCTCTTGCTTCACTCTCAGGCTCCCCAGACCTGGCATCATTTGCCTGTGCTCCCATATCCATTGAAAAAAATTAAGTTCATTTAAATAACATACTAATTTTTGCCTCGTATTTAAGGTGTACTGCTATGTAAATGTGTGGAGAGACTTTAAAAAAATCACAAGGCAGCTCACTCTTTTCAATGCAAAAAGAAAACCCATGCAAACAAATATTCAAATACTTCATAACTGGAATGTAAATAAATCACTTTTTAGCTATAGTGTAGAAAATGGGGCAATTCCAACTAGGTTGGCAAAAAAATAAGGTTTCAAAAATAAGGCAATCAACAACATTCTAGGGAAAGAATATAGCCAAAGAATGGAAGTTGATTGCCTGTGGGTTTAGATAAACAATTACATACAGAGATCAGGTTAATGAGCAGATGTAGTAAATGGAAGGGATCTTATAGAACAGGAAGTTACAGATTATATTAGCAGAAAGTAATGTTTTAGATAGCTTACATAGCAGACATGTGGAACCAATTCTATGCTTAACATATAAATAGATTTTTAAAAAACTCAACTAGTCTTTTGTGCACTTTAGGCCCAGACCCAGAGAACCCAAGCTGTATCTGACCTGAAAGTCTCCTCCTTGGGAACTAGCTTTCTTTTTTTTTTTTTTTTTTAATTTTTCTTTTTATTCAAAGTAGGTCCTTCTGTCATACAATACACATCAAAAACAGTTTCTTTCCCTCTACTCGTCCAAGCTCTCCCACCTTCCCACTCTCCCAGATCCACTTCCCCTTCATTTCTCTTCATGAAGGAGCAGGCCTTTCCCATTGAAAATGGAGCACACAGCAGACAGGTAGGTTTAGAAATCACTAGTTAAACAGTGAAACTAGTGAAACCAGCTTGCCACAGAGTTAACAAAATGTAACTAAAAAGAAAAAAAAATAATAATAATAAAAAAAAAAAAGAAAGCTGAGAGGACCAAAGAAGATAACTGGGAATAGCATATGGTTTAGAAGCTATCTGACACGGGCTGGCATCCATACAAAGGAGTTTTCAAGGCTAATGGGATGCACTGACCTTTGACCTTACCTGTTGAGTGCTAAGGAACCTTTCACTGTTTATGCCTGGGAACTAGCTTTCATGGTACCAGAAGGTGGCAGAAATGTTTCAAAAGGAGGGAGACAACCAACAGTCCTACTTAGCTACAGTGAACATGAACCACAACAACTGCCAGCATGGTATGATAACTCTAAAGGTGCAGTAGGGGCATGAAAACCTTGGCAATAACAGCTCTCTAATTGGACTTAAGGCTCGCTCTTTGATGTTTATAGAAATTAGTATAAAGTTCTTTCAAAGTGTCTTAAAAATACTGTTTGGACCTTGATATGCCTATCTACTTATAGGTAATCCTATGATCCTATAACATTTATAAAAGAGTTTATCATTTATTTATGTGGGTGTATCTATGTATGTACACACATGTATGTGGGTGTTCATGGAGGCTAGCAAGAGTATCCTATGTCTTGCAGCTGGACTTGTGAGCCTCTTGATGTGAGTTCTGGGAAGCAAATTCCAATCCCAGCAGAGCAGCAAGCACTCTTAACTGCAGAGCCATCTCTTCAGTTCCTGCATTTTAACCCTCACATTCTGTGTTATAGATTCCCTTTTATGATTATATAAAATTACTTTGGTCTCTGTAATTATTTTAAAATCTATTATATTATAAAATGCTCCTATAATACATCTGGAAACAAAAAAATTGGACAATATCAACTAAGCACTTCCTTATTTAACAAGTACTGGGGACACAAAGACAAATAGTTATGACGAGAATATATTATACATTTGATGCATAGGCACGTTTCTGATTAAAGGTCTCAATACTTCCCGTTTCGAACAATTCCTTTCCAAAATTGTGAATGATCTGCCAATTCACTTATCACTTCATTCACATCACTTAATTCACAATGGAAAGTAGTTAAAATTTTGAAATGTATTAAGTGAATGCATGATGTTAAAATTTATAACATACCTTTAAGAACTCATCATCTGCCTGCTTAAGTGCTTTCAGGTTATCAGTCTGAAGCATTCTAGCTTGTTGAAAAGTCTTCTGTTGTTGATTAAAAATACTCTGGAAGAATAAATGCAAAGATGTGTAGTAACAATTAAGTATGAAATTTGTTGCTCTTAATGCTGTTCTTGGCTTCACTCATGCTAAATAAAGACTACAACTAAGCTAATCCCATGGACTAAAATTTTAAATTCAAAACATCCCTTTAAATTAATCTTTAAAAGTATTCTTTAAAAGGAATTGTTTTCATAACAAATGTCATCAATATTTTATTTTGGTACTTTTTATCACTAAGTTTGTGTCTTTACCACTAACCAGCAAAAAACATCCTCCAAGTCATGGAGTAGGAATTTTCAAAGCCAGATTCTACATTGCATAGAACAGTAGAAACTCATGATCTTCCTGCTTCAGTATCCCTAGTAGCTGGGATTAGAAGCATGCAGCTCATGCGAGTGAACAGAAATTCTTAATATTCAAGATATAACTTATTACTCCAGTAATGTCTATACATATGATTTGCCAATAACTGTGTCCTTTCAATTTCTTAACTTATTCTTCACCAATGACTTTGCGCTCTAATCTACTTTATCCACTCATTTAAATGCTTGTACTCTATATTTTGCCATTGCTGATAATGCCCATTTCTATAGCCCTGGTAATAGCAAGTATGTATTAGCTCCATGACAAATATGATTTCAAACCTTATTAAGGAAATGCTCATCATTTAATTTCAAAGTTGAGAAAACTGAGTTACAATGGTACAGTGTTTGTTGTTCCAAGTTGAGGTATTACTGAAGTCTGAATCACATCCAAAATATTATGCTTCCATTATCTAAGCTATAAGTATTATAGAAACTCTATCTGCACATATTTTGAGATAATACTGGAACACTCTCCACTGTAGCTTACTCGTTTTGGTATTATAGCTGAGAAATCCTTCAAGACCAAAAATTCGTGAACTCTAACTTCTATTTACTGTTGTCCCTACTCCTGTTATCTTCAGTTTTCTTTTTCCAACCTTAAATTCTGTAACAAATCATTAAAATTTCTTCTTTGCATATAAATCTTACTATATACTGACTCACATTTACTTGGTTAAATCATAAATCATGGACTAGTTCAAACTTATGATTTAACCAAACTAGCTCAGTGATATTCCTCCAAAGGAATATTCTGCCAGGGCTATTGAGAAAGACTGTCTCAGTTCACTGAAGCTCATAAGTTTGTAGTTGAGTCTAAAAATGGGAAAATTCAGATATGCCATCTAGCAAGTTCACTCAGACCCAGAAACAGCTCAGATAATATCATGAAATGCATCCCTCACACCATTCAACTATTTATGAAACAAACCCACCCCTGATTTATTTCATATAAAACAGTAATCCTTCATTTATATTCTTTTACAAGTTTCTGTTGCTTGAAACTATAAGAAACTTTACTAATATCAGAAGCCAGATGATCTTTATGAACATTAAGTGTCTATGTTTCTGTGGTTTATGTTTCACCAGGAAAAGAACACCAAGCCAATGACAAATCCTCAAACTTGGCTAATTTCCTAATGCTTCTCTATTTTGACTTAACACTTAGTTATAACAGATAAATTATAAAAAACAATTATGATACCAACAGTTAGTTCATTTTCTTGGTCTTCAACTTGCTTTATATCAGAATCCCATTGCTTAAACACACTTATAATCTGCTCAGTATATTCAATTTTAAATTCCCGCCTGTAAAACAGAAAAATGAGTATCACATTACATATCAAGATGAAGAGAATGTCAAAGAAAAATTAAATTTGCACATTATGTATTATGTACTATAAAAGGAAGGACATGATAGCAAAGTAAATATCCTTGTGGGAAAACAAAAAGTAAATTTGGACTTATATTTATTCCAGAAATATTTTTCTTAACTAATAAACTAAGTCCTGATTCAAGTTGATATTCTGGGATGGGTTAGTCATGGTGGCTTTCCTTTTCTGAGGAGAACAGGGAGGGGGTTTGGGAGAAGAGTGTGGGAGGCTGGAACCAGAAGGAGAGGAGGAAGGGGGCTATGATCCATATGTAAAGTGAATATATAAATTAAAAAGAAAAAGAAATGAAGCCTTACATTTCATCTTGATGAACTTTCCAATGTTCTTTGATATTCCTGTTGCAGTCTTTGACTACACTTTTAATATAGGACTGCATTCTTGTTTTGTTTTCCACAACAACACTGCTAAGTTGAGCTATGTTTGGAAAAAAAAATTCATTAAAACTTAATGTTGAAGAAATTGTACTTCTCCCACATATGCAAGTAAATGAAGACACAGGTAAAATCCATTCTACAGTACCAAAAATTTACAAAATAGCATCAACCAAATGCCTCAAGCCTGTCATATTTTACAGCACTCAAGATTTTGCTTTTCAGACTAGATATACTCAATCAGTAACGTCCATACGAATATTCCAAAGTCAAATAAAATTCTGAAATATGAAATATTTGTGTCCTAGGTATTGTGAATGAGGAATACTAACATTACTATAATTCTGATCTGCCCAGTGAAGATTGTCTTCTATGTTTTGGGGATCATATAAAAGTTCTAATGAGAAAATTATAGAATAAAAAAACCCTTTAATTTCTTTCCCAAGGAAAAAATAGAAGAAAAGTCAAACTTTATTTTTTTAACTTATAGAATACTCTCTACTTGGGAGGATGCTTGGCTGTATTACTGTTGTAACTAATCCTAGAAAAAAAATAAAACCCACCCTATTAAACAGTTGGAATCCAGGCTGGGTGTGGTTGTCACACACCACTTATAATGGAAGTTGGGAGGCAGATGCAGGCAGATCCCTGAGTTCAAGGATAGTTAAGTAGTGAATCACAGACAAATTAAGGTTACATGGTGAGATCTTATCTCAAAATATTTTTAAATTGAGTTAAATTAAAAAAAAATTGAAGACCACCTGAGCATTACAGTCCTTAACATTTTATGCACAAAACTCATATCCTGGTTGGCACATTTCATTTCACACAGGTGGAACTAGAAAAGGAAAGATAGCAGGATTGGTACATGTATGGTTTTTCACCCAGGGTCTTTTCCACCACATCCTGGAATCATGGATTTTGCCTTTGTGGCTGTTTTGACAGATGGGATGGCTAGTTTTCTGTCAACTTGACCTAATCTAAATTCATCTGAGAGGAGGTAACCTCAATTAATGAAATTCTTCAATGAGATAGGAATGTAGGCAAACCTGTTGAGCCTTTTTAAAAAAATATTTACTATTATTAAAATTTATTCAATTTGTTTCCAGGCTGCATCCCCTCTCTCATCTCCTCCCAGTCCTACCCCAACTCCCTCTTCTCCTTCTATCCCTCTTCTGTAGTCAGTTGATAGTGGGGGTCCTCCTCTCCTGATATCTGACCCAACTTATCAGTTCTCTTCAGGCCTGTCTAAATCCTATCAATTCTATTCAGGCCTGTCTAGATCCTCTTTCTCTGTGGCCTGGTAAAGCTGCCCTGGCAGGGGGAGATGATCAATGAGCCAGCCACTGAGTCCATGTCAGAGACAGACCCTGCTGCCCTTACTATGGAACACACATTGAGACTGAACTGCCTAAGGGCTACATCTGAGCAGGAGGTTTAGGACTCTTCATGCATGGACTTTGGTTGTCATCAGTCTCTACGGAAATCCATAGGCCCAGATTTTTCAGCTCAGCTGGTCTCCTTGTGTAATTCCTGTTCCCTTCAGGTCCTTGTATCTTCCCCTTCTACCATAAGATTCCCTGCATTCTGTCCAAGGTTTGGCTATGACACTCAGCATTTGCTACCATAAGACATTTGCTCATCTATATTTGTAGCAGCTTTTTTTGTAATAGCTAGAAGCTAGAAACAACCCAGATGTCCCTCAACTGAAGAATGGATAAAGAAAATATGGTACATTTACACAATGGAATACTACTCAGCAATTAAAAACAAAGAAAACATAAAAAAATAAAATTTGGAATCCAAGATGGCGGTGCTGGGAGGACACTCTGTCTGAGAAGCAGGACAGCAATGTCCATACATCAATCAAGAGAATGAACTCTGGGCCTTAAAAGCAGAGAGATCGTTTCCCAGGTAAGAGTAAATTCCAAGGTTTACTTGGATCACTCGGGTCTACTCTCAGGTCACCCAGCCAGAACCAGGAAGACATCCCAGGTTGCGCAGGTACTTGGTTGCCTGACTAGAGCCACACAACAGCGTGTCCTGATCACCTTCCCAGGCTGAACTGTAGACACCAAAACCCCGGACACTGGGAGTACCAGTTGCGATAAATCCCACAGGGAAAGAAGAAAATGGGACATAGGTCACCCAGTCTATCCCTGGAAAAAGTCCAGCAGACCTGCGAACCCACAGCAACAACCCTGAGCAGGGCTCCAGCTGCCAGCCCAGAGACCTGCTGAGTGCCCAGCTCTCCATCACAGACAGAACTGTACTCCCCAGTGCACCAGAGACTGGCTTTCCTTGTCAGGAGAAAACCCCACAGGGAAGGAAGCAAACAGGGACTGTTTTCAGGTCACTCAGTCTATCCCTGGAAAAGGTTCTGAAGACTGGAGGACTCACAGCCACCAGCCCAGAGACTTGCAGCATGCCCAACTGTGTCACAGACAGAACTGGGGGCCCGGGACACCAGAGAATGGATTTCCCTGTTGGGAGAAAACCCCACAGCGAGGGAAACAGCAGGTCCCAGCTTAGAGCACTCAGCGGACGGCCCCCCACACAACCACACACAGTAAAGTTCTCAGGTTCCTGCCCAATCACCAGCTTGGAGCCACCACCTGCCAGTGCCTGTACGCTCTATGCGCCAACCCAAACACCACAGACTGGGTCTTCCTGTTGGGAGAAATCCCATGGTGGGGGAAACATTTGGCCTTAACTGAAGACACCTAGCTCCAGGAAAGTTTCTGATTATCCACAGGCTCCAGACTCTAGGCTCCTGTTGCACCCATGACAACACTGCTCACCTGCCAATGATTACCACTTGGATACTGGGCACAGAGCCCCAACCTCAGACCTACAGAAGCCTGGGATCCTCGAGATCAACCCCCAGATGCTGGTCCAACGTGCAACCAGTTATCCCTAACAAAACTGACCAAACCACGGGGCACCCAGGTTGCAGCAGCAGCTCACTAAATTTACAACAGAAAACCCAGAAGCAGAGCAGCTGTCTCCAGGACTTCTCTGGGTGAGAGGAGAGCCCTCCTGACTAACAAAGACCACAGTTACCACTCAGTTCTGTATGCCTGAGGTGAGCTGTGACAATTCCTGAAAAATACCAACCATTCAGTGACCAAACCCAAAAAGCTGAGGAGGCATCCTTTAGGAAAATCATATTTCTGCCAATGGGATTCTCCTCACCACAGGATTCCAGGAAGCACCACAAACTAACATCCAACACGTAATATAGCCCAATGGTTAGAGGCCAGAATAAAAGCTCAACCACCAAAAGACAGAGCAATGTGGCATCTTCAGAACCCAGTTATCCAGGGGCATGAAGCCCTGGAAACCCCACCATAAATGAAATTCAAGATGACCTTACATCTATGTTTATGAAGAGGATAATAGAGGAAACAAAGAAAATGTGTAAAGAACTAGAGGAAGATAAAGTCAAACAGATTATGGCCATCAGTAATGAAATATAGGAAGTTGCAGGCAAACAGTTTGTGGCCTTTAGAGAAGAAATATTTAAATCACTGAAAGAAATAAAATAAACAGAGGAATGTTCAAACAAACAGCTGAAGGAATTGAGGGAAAAACAGGAAAATACAGTCAGACAGGTGAAGGAAATCAACAAAAAGGGTCACAATCTGAAGATAGAATTGGAAGAATTAAAGAAAACACAAAGGAAGGAAATCATGGAGAGGGAGAACCTACGAAGGAAAACAGGAACTACAGAGGTAAGCATAACCAATAGACTACAAGAGATGGAAAAAGAATATCAGGTGTGGAAGATACAATGGAAGAAATAGATGTATCTGTCAAAGAAAGTAATAAATCTAAAAAATTCCTGACAAAAACCATTCAAGAAATCCAAGACAACATAAAAAAACAAAACCTAAGAATAATAGGAATAGAAGATAAAGAAGATTCCCTCCTCTCCTCCAAGGCCCAGAAAATATTTTCAATAAAATCATTGAAGAAAATTTCCCCAACTTAAAGGACAGGCCAATAAGAATACAATAGACCTACAGAACACCCAATAAATTAGACCAGAAAAGAAAATCCTCCCTTCACATAATAATCAAAACAGTGAGTATACAGAACAAAGAAAAAATACTAAAAGCTGCAAGGGAAAAAGGCCAAGTAACATACAATGGCAAACCCATCAGAATCACACCTGACTTCTCAACAGAGACTATGAAAGCCAGAAGGGCCTGGACAGATATCATGCAGAGCCTAAGAAAACACAGATGTCAGTCCAGACTACTATACCCAGAAACATTCTCAGTCCTCATACATGGAGAAAACAAGACAGTCAACAACAAAAACAAATTTCAACAATACCTACATACAAATCCAGCATTACAGAAGATACTAAAAGGAAAAACACAATTCAAGAAAACTAACTACTTTCAAGGAAACACAGGAAATAATTAACATCACCACAGCAAAATAAAAAGTACCCTCACACACAAACTTACTACCACAGCCAACCTCAAAATCAAAAGATCTAACAGCCACGGGTCATTAATCTCTCTCAGCATCAATGGACTCAGTTCTCCAAAAAAAGACACAGACTAACAGAATGGATGTGGAAACAAGACCCAACAATCAATCTGTTGCATACAAGAAACACACCTAAGTCACAAAGATAGACATTACCTGAGGGTAAAGGACTGTAAGTCAGTTCTCCAAGCAAATGGACACACGAAGCAAGCAGGACTAGCCATTCTAATACCTGATAAAATAGACTTTCAACCAAAATTAATAAAAAGAGATGGGGAAGGACACTTCATACTCATCATTGGAAAGTTCCACCAGGAATACATCACAATCCTGAACATCTATGCCCCAAATACGAAGGCACCCACATTTGGGAAAGAAACATTAATAAAACTTAAGCCACACATAGATCCCCACACAGTAATAGTGGGAGACTTCAACATCCAACTCTCAACAAAGGACAGGTGAACAAAACAGAAATTAAAACAAAGAAACAATATCTCTAACAGAGGTCATGGATCAAATGGACCTAACAGACACCTA